GGACAACTACAGTGTCGTGTTTTGGCGTTGGGGTTTTGAGCTATTCTGTTTGTTCTATTAGAATAGTGATGACGATGATAATGATGCTATACATGTATACAATGTTCTTTTTTGAATACCTAAGGCTATCACAACTATGTATTTCGGTTAGGAATTTATTCTGGTTTAATAAAAAAAGTGCATTCCTTAGATAATAAATTATTTTTGCCTGTTTGGATAGTTTATTTTAAAATTTAAAATTGAAAGAGTAACGTACGTCTAAAGTAACTCCCTCCTCCCCTTAAATGAGATGGGGTACCACGTAAGAAAGCAAATTAATCTGCTGTTTTTAAACGCCCTCATTTAAATATCTGGAGTGCAAATTAGTGGAAAATATGCGGGCCAATAAGATTTATTACTATGCCAATTACAAGTTTCTAATACATCTAACGGAATCCGAGAAAACGGTGCTAACAAACAGATGCATTAGAGGTCTTAAAAAAAAAATCAATTTACTCGAAAATATAAACGACTACATTTTTCATTACATATGTATTTTACGATACCGTCAATTGTTCATCGCACTATATGTTTTATTTATGAAGATACTGAATGGCAGTAACAAATAACACAGAGACAGCTATAAATTACATATTGGTAATAACTTTCAACAGAAGATAAAAGACAAACATTAGCGACAATTACTTATTTATCGGAAACTTTCTTTTAATTACACATACATACATTTGTGTAGGTACCTGTACAAGTGCAACAAGAGTTACACATACAGATATTTTATCTGGCAATCAACTAATCGTAAGCAAGCAAACCGGGCAGCCAAGTTACAAGTCAGGCCAAGTCAAGGCACACCTTTGCCTCTTTTTGTATTGAGAAACAAACGTCTTTCGCAATAAATGCTTTTATACATACATACATACGCATATGAATCCAGGCGCATACATATTTTAAGCACAGGGTCGACGACATGTCAATTTTCTTAAAAAAGATTCTTTCACAATACAATATAAAAGACAATTCACTAAAATCCACTGCTCAAGCTAAAAGATATTCAAATATCTAATCAAATTTTGCAAAATAGCCTATCGATTGTTTCTAATAATACTTTAAATTGCAATTTTGAATGTTTGAAATCTCATAAAATTGTAGACCTTGTAGCTACTGTTAAAATTAATTGAAGGAGCAATGGATTGCATTATAAATTATATTTTACGACTATTATTAATAAATAGGTATTGTATAACATAATTCGAAGTGGTCTGTATTCTGTCGAAACTGCCAGACACGGATCGCGATTTCGATCTTTTTGGATCTCATCAGCGCGTCGCAGGCAGCTCCGACAGAACACAGACCAATTTTTACAATTGTTAGGGCATACGTAATCCTAAAATGTAGCATCGTGCTATAGGTGGCGTTTACTGCGCCATTTATAGTATTTTCTAAAACGCACTGTTAAGATAGCAGGTAAAAATTGGTCTGTGTTCTGTCGCAGCTGTCTGCGACGCGCTGATGAGATCCAAAAAGATCGAAATCGCGATCCGCGTCTGGCAGTTTCGACAGAATACAGACCACTTCGAATTATTTTATTCGATTAAGCTAATGTGCCTATCACGTTGAGGTTGGCTACGCCGGGATTCGTTTTCAGCAAGTAGATATCCACACAAGTGGACCTTGTTGGAGCATAGGTAATCCTAAAATGTAGCATCGTGCTACAGATGGCGTTTACTGCGCCATTTGTAGTATTTTCTAAATAGGTATTGTATTCATTCTGTCTCAGAAATTTTTAAATTGAAAACAAAAATAATTTCAATAAAGTAAATAATCCAAATTAACTTGCAAAAACTTGGTTTTTACAAAATAATCGATGAAAATTAACCTTTAAAGTTATTATCCACTGCTCGTATTCATATAATTATAAAGGAAACTGGCATTTACTGCTGGTTTCGGTTTTAGTTTAGGGATTTGCCCATGTACTTTCTGACATGAATATCTGAAGCTGCATTCACATACAAATTGACATAATTTTTACAACCATGTGGTAATATCTCCTAAGCTAAAAAAACTAAATAAATAAAATTGTAATCCTATGATGTATTCCCTCTTCCAAATTAAAATGAAAAGAAAACAGTGAACCTATTTTTTTAAAGAATCATTGTAAACCAAAATGCAAACAAGTAAATTAATTTGAAATACCTCAATACATATACGAAATATTGGTAATATATTCAAACGTGATTCAGATGTGACTCCAAAGTTTCATTTGATATTATATCGGGCAATATGTGGCCCTATTTGAATGGAATAGTTTTATTTTATTAAATCGATGTCAGCGTCGGTTCCAGATTTTACGTAACAGTATTACCGTTAAATTTACTGTTGGAACGCAAACAAAAACAACGAAATAAATAAATATCTCAGAATCATTGAAGTACCTATACATACCACTTTGACGGGTTCGATTCCCTGTGAGGGTGAAAACTAGGGTTGCCACCCGTACTTTATAATAAAGTATTGTACTCTATTTCGACTGTGCGTACGTTACATTTTACAAGACACATAAAGTACGCAAAAATACTCTATTTAAGGCCTTAAGAAAACATCGTAATTTTGTAAGCGATTATTGGAAATTCAGAGTATTTTTACATCAATAATATTGCACAGAAAAAATAGCAAGCCATATTTAAGGAACAACCTGATTTCCCAAATCTGTTCAAGGTAGTGTCACTTTTGCTGTCCGTTCCGGCCACTTCAGCATTAACAGAAAGAGTATTTTCTATTCTCTGTTATGAACCCAAAGTGGCGGGACGACAGGAATAAAGCTTCATTAAAACTAATTAAAAATGAATTTTTAGTTTACTTAAATCTTTGTTTGCCATGTTTAGAGGCTATTAATGTATTTAAGAGCGACAGCAATTTGTTACTGTCTTTTTTGTGATCTATTTGAAATTTTAGTGCTCCAATCCTTATATATGAAAGTTAGTGATTACTGTGAATGAAGGCTGAAGTATCAGCACATCCACGTCAGCATTTCTTAGTAAACTATTGTTTTTAATGTTTGCAGAAGTAAGGGCGCTGTAATTTAGTGCTTTTTAAATGCTTCTAAAAGAACTAATGCCAACATACATAAATAATTTCATCCGATATGTTGTAAAATTAAGCTTTCTTCCTTCGAACATCCAACTGTAACACGTACACCGAAAAATGTTTAAAGTAAATCAGTAAATTTGAAAAATATTGTTACTATAGTAATAAGGTCTCTTGTCATTGTAAACGAAATTATCTTTAAAGTCATTGTAACTTCCTACATGTCACCAAATTGTATTTGGAGTATTCTCCTTCCACTTTAGTACTTTTTGGCATAGAAATGGAACAAAAAATTCATCTATTTTTTATCCACTGTAAGTTACCTCAAATTAACGACGAAAAATTGTTGCAGCTTTACGCACCAATGTTGTGACCATTAAGCGTAACGTAAAGGTGCCGGGTTCGATTTCCGGGGAGGGTGCGACAGCAGTAACAATTTTTCCTCATTAATTTGAGGTAATTTATAGTGGATAAAAATTAAAAGAATTTTCACATTAGTTTTAAAGATAATTTATGTAGAAAATTTATAAGAAATACTGTACTTTATCATACCCCTACTGAAAGTATGATACGCAACATTATCACCCCCCACCCTCTCGCTGAAAAATCGCATTTACTCCTCCACTATTCACAACCGGTCAGGAACGCCGCACTTTCTTCCCTTGATGCGTAACTATTATTATGAGGAACTGCACGAATTGATATTTATTTGGCTTCTTTATCTTAGTTGCCGTTATCAATTACACAACCTTGAAAAATGTGTTATTTAACTACACACGGAATATGCACACTTCGTTATGTAGAATTTACTAGAAAAAAAACAGCATTTTTTTTGTTCAAAATAGTCATTCGTTATTTATCAATGTAGAAGTTATGTTGTTTTAAATATAAGTGGTTACATATGTGTAATTAGTAACTGTAATAATAGTAATTTTACATACGAACGAACACTTTTGTATTTTCCTCTCAAATTTTATAGATTAGCTACAACCCTGTATAAATACTTCATATCGTAGTTACTCTTATACTTTTTTAGCAATACTTTTTCATGTAAAAAGAGAAAGAACATAACTAATTCAAAATCAGGTGGGGTATTAATAACTTTTATTGATTTTATTACTAGATTAAATGTGACCATCCTGCTGGGCTCTAGTATATTTATTATAACCTAGGATTTCGTTTACGTGAACTTCGAATACTAGAAACGCCGCTTCCTTCCTTCAAACGTAATAAGAACATTTTTTTCTCAGAAACACTTCATTGCAATAAAATATAACGCAAATCAAGAAATGTTTTGAAGTATTTATCTTCAAATAATTATCTTTAAATTAAGAGAAATCATTCACACGAATCGTCAGTAACCACAACTTTTGCATATGGAGTGTTCGTTTTTTAACTGCTGGTTACAATATTACAGAATTTATGCTCTAATCAAGAAGACTAGATATAAAAGCAACAACTCAATCAGAAGCGAATTGGTATAAAAAGCATCATCACTAATGAAGGATAGAAAACACAATCGTCCGCTGCGCGATAGGCGACTGCGCATCAATTTCAACAATATCAGCTGTTAAACCCAAAACGTAAACAAAATCTTGCCGAAGCAGCAAATCAGATGCGCACTACCTTACTGCGCAACAGACAACCGAAACTATGTGACGCTCTTACGCCTCCTGCCGTACATTAAGCAAACCATGTAGTTATTATTTGTATCTATGGCCTTCTTCTTGGCTACAATAATAAAACTTTGACACAACACAGAAACATCGTCTTTCTAATTTTTTGGTTATTTCAATCCGTACCTACTCACAAATGAAATAGAATGTAGTAAATTCAAACAGTACACACAAATTTTATCCTTCTCACTATGAAATAAAAATGAGTGCATATTTTAATGAAAGTCAAGGTATGTTCCTCACCCGTGACTATTGGAAAACCGTCCGTTTCCCGGTGAGGTAGACGTGGAGGAGTACGTAGAGCCAATGTTGTTCTGGTGCACGACAGTAACATTCGACGAAGAACCGCCAGGTGACGCAATAGTCGTAACGGCAACCGTCGCGGCAGCTGCGGCCGCTGCAGCCGCCGCTGCTGCTGCCGCGGTCGCAGCATTCGTTGCAGACGCAGCAGCAGAGGAGGATAATGAAGTGGAGGAGGCGGAATTGTTGCTATTGGAGGACGGAATGGCAGCGGGCTCATAGTACTCGGTGGTCAGAGTCCTGTCGTCAATTTTGTGTTCGGCTGTGTGCGCCTTGGACGCACTCTTGATGTCCATAAATGCGACCGTGCAGCATGCCATGGTCGTTTCGCCCGACGCCTCCTCCTTAGTGCTCCGTGCCGGCAGCAGCTTGACACTCTGAACGCGGCCATACCTGTACCAAAAAAAATGAGCATATAATAAACATCTACAGTGCAATCCAAAAATGAAAATAATATAAATTGTTTAAGGGAATTTTAAAACAGAAAATCAAATGTACATAGGTATATATACAAATCTTGAGCCAATTTAACGTCATCATCATAAGGTCGTGAGTCCTAAGACTGGTTGGACACGTTCCTCCACTCTTTCCTATCCTGAGATAAACTTCGCATTTCCCTAAAACTAGAACAACCCGCATCCTTAACTATTTGCGAACAGTAATCTAACCTAGGTCTACCTTTAATCCTCCTAACTCCTGTTTCCGCCTCTAATATGTCTCTGACTAGACCTTAATACCTGAGAAGGTGTCCTACCAACCTACCTCGCCTAATTTTTATTGACTTCCAATTTAACGATAAACACAAAATTGTGAAATCACTTCCACTTTAATTTCTGTGCTTGAAAGACAATATTTAACTTCAACAAATTTTAATTTTGAATTTTCTCATGTTTTTAAGCACCCTGAACCGAAATACTAAATGTTTTCAACACTCAAACTCAATTATTTATGGCGATAATAAGCATTTACCAATTTGACAATATGAAAGAAAATCATTTACAAAAAAGCATTAACTTTTTATTTATTTATATATATAATAAAGTAATTGAATAGTCATATTTAGGATGTCTCGTTCAATAGGATTCTTTACATTCTGTGGTAAGTCATCTTCATTTCTGGAAATTTCAATATTGTCGGAGTTGAAAATTATATGCGTAATCGAATTAATGGGGACCATTACACTGGCACCCATAAAGTCTTGGCACTCGTTTCCTAGTGATGAAAACTATCAATAATGTCTTCGACAACATATTTAAACGTAACAAAATATTTTTATAATCGTCCTCTATCAACCATCTTAAGTGTTAATTCGTAAATTCCTAAAGCTAAAACTGACATTATATTAATTTAATATGATCTACTCTCAAAACTTAATTAAAAGATATTGGTAATACCAATGTCATCTAGATGGTCAAAGGTCACATTTCTATAAAACATGTAATCATATAGTAAAATAGCCTTTTCCAACGTTAACACAAGATTATACGCATCGACTTTCAAAATATTTTAGCATAACTAGTACATCACCACGAGTAATCGATTGAGGTCACTTGGTACCTTCCCTCTTACTCTTTCAAATACCAAAATTCTTTGAAAATTTTAAAATACAACACTAAAAATGTATGTATACTGGGAACCTTTAGGGCCGCTTTTAATTAAACATTTCCCTTAAAATTAAAACTACATTGTCTTTATATCCCTCAACATAATGATCTAAGCTTGTCAAATTTTGAAATTCTGAATAGTGCCAGATTTCCAAACCCAACACTTTTAAATGATAGATATTATCTTCATTTTAATATCCTGCTAGCAGATCACATATTTAATCCCCACATCAAAGCATATGAGTAATTTGTACCAATTTTGTAGTAAAATTTGTAATGAAATGATTAATTTTGTAGAGCCTGTATATCTTGAGAAATCGGATGATCTGCTGACGAGCTGGCGTGATATGCTAACAGATAGTATATATTCGTTTCAGCCGATCTCAGGCTCTAATTTACATCGTAGTTTGTAGCTAATTTATTCTGAAAAGGTACATTTGATGTTACTTTTTTCGAACCTCGAAAACTATGCAAAGAAATTGTTTTCGCGCCTAAGATATATCTACATATGTATATTCTTGATCAACACGCTGAACTATGATGGAACATACCTTGTAAAACTATAAAATGTTTCATTTCCACCAATTTGATCCGCATGGGCAGTAGGTACGTTGCAATTTATTTGTGGATACACATACATACACATGTACCTACCTAACTACGGTAATTTTTAATATCTATTAAGTACATGTTTGTTTCTGATAATTAAAAATGTGTGTTCTGTGTTTTGTACTTAGCTTACGATTATCAAATTCATATCGAACCCATGATATATGCATCTATGTATGTATCCAATAACCAATAGTTACCTTATGCAGGTGTATGCGATGTACATCCATCCACCTATTGAAAATTGGTTTATTCCTATTTTCTATGCATTTTCTATGTAGGTATAAGAATACGGATAAAATTTTCCCGTTGGATGATTTATGTGCATGACGTCAACTACGAATCGACTTTTTTTAGTTACTCTTCGAGCAACCATTTGGCTCTACGACCGACTCCACAAAAAACATTCAAACGGAAATTGTGCTGGAGACATTAAAAACTTTGACTCAACAACAAAAGAGATCCAACTTCTGGTAATAATAAATTTAGGTACGTGTCTGCGAGAAAGAGAAAGAAAAACTAAGCGGTAAAGTCCAAAAGAAAAAAACAAGGTTACATACATACGATAGAACGAACGGGTACGGGAACCTATAATAATAATATAATAGAAAGTTGACCGAGTTGGTGGGGATAGTGGGGAGACGTTCAACATCCTAAATAAACAGTGCGCATGACAGCAGGTCGCAGTATAAAGCAGAATCTCGGCTGAGATCGACCTCGTTTCTATGCGCAATTGCGACACTACAGAAAATACATTTGCCTGCCAATTCGTAGCATTTTGGAATGTAGCGAATATTCTCTAATGAAAGTGACGTGTTCGCGTCTAAATACAATTAAATATACCGAACACAACATCTTGTTAGCCCCGGTAACAAATGCCGAGTTGTTTTTATAACAGGGTGTGAGAATAACTACACTGCTATAATTTTTTCATAAAAGTGTAAATACCGCTCAATTCCTACTATTGATGCTTGCTCATAGTGCGCCTATTTAAAAGTGATATGCTAAAAAGTGGTAACTTTACGGATAACAATTATTGTACCTGGCGAAGTAAGTTTCCAAAGTTTTGTTAACGACAAATCGCAGGATACATACATATGAGAGAAATCGAACTCCGAGAGCTCCATAAAACCAAAACATCGATTTCATACTGCAATTGTGAATTATCTTTTTTTAACGATAGCCAGCCATATGCCATTCGTAAAAAATCGAACAAATGAAGTGATTCTGATTTGGCAACAACGCGTCGCTAACAATATTTGCAATTAGCCACTCCCTGTAACCCGTCCTGTACCCCTCGCACTGTTGCCACATCGATCGGCGATGTGCTTCTAACGTCATTTACGTATATAGGTGTTACCACCTATCTCCTTATTAACCAGTCTCGATTCAGAAACACGGTAATATTTAATTTTGTAAGGTTACATTTTATTTTATAATGTTAAATAGATTATTTCTATTTGGGATTGTTACATCATATTCACTTACGAACTTAGTAAACGCAACTGCGTATTACGATTTACGGATTGGATGTTCGATATGTCTACCTACTCACATCGAATTATTTCATTTAATTAAATATAAAAAACTTCCCTAAAGCAATAATTGTCGATGAATAGATATACGGGAGTAGTAAATCTTGTAAACAATGGCTAGAGATTAGTTGTATAATCCCGCACCCTACTGCTGATAAGATGATAAGCAATGTAGTGACATGTAAAAAATGTCCAGTGACAAAAATCAATTACAATTGACACGTATAAAGTATGTTCTCCGGAATATCTTAAAAATATTTGCCAATTCAATAATGAAGAGTATAAACTGACGGTCCGATATCAAAACTGCTTTCTGAATTATTGTGTGTTGTATATTCCAGTTACGATTACGACCGACGGACCGTACAGTGGACCAGAAAAATGTAATCGTATTGTAGACGTGAACGTTTTAACGAATCGACTGGCCTAGTGTACAACGTTGCCGCTAAGGAATTGACGTCACTACAATTCGTGTTGATGTTGATTTACAATGAGAAACAAGGAACCTGCTTAGAGAATCGTGTTTGTATGTTTGTATTGCAGAGAAATTTCATAAGCAAGCAACCTCATTTAAATAAACAGAAAATCGCAAGCAAGCATAAATTTCACGTGCAAAATTATTTTCGCCAATACGAGTTTAATTTAATTTGCTTTTTACAATTAAAAGGTGTAATATATATATGCAACGCGGGCATTTATTAATAAACTATACAAAAAAGTAAAAACTGCCAACCTTATTATAAGTTTAAAACAGCAATGAAAATACTGTAGGTAAATGATACACGATTGTAATTAGTAAATAGAGTATTCTATTATACAAAGGTGTGGCTGATTCCTAATTTTCTATGTACCGGATAATAATTGCGACAATTTAAATATTGCTTATAATATCGTGTAATATTCTGCAACAGAAAGCGAGGAGCCTATAAAAAAAAGTCAAATTTTCATTGTTTTTTAATCAGCACGATTTCATTTGCGGACGTGACTGCAAGCCGAGCGGCAAGCAAAGTTTCCAAAGGTATCTGCGTACTTACTACATGTAGTAGATACATAGGCACGGATATACAATAAAAATATAATAACCTGCGTTGTAACTGTTTTTGTATGGAGCTCTCGATGCGGAGAGAACAAAATGGCTGCTGACTCATCTGTAACAGCAGTACTAAAAACATTGACTCGGGGCCAACTTTAACTTAAAACGTGTTCGAGAATCGAGAAACAGATGGACAATTGGTACGTTTATAAAAGCATGAACAAGTACATAACACACCTTCCATGTCTGCTGTACCTCCACATACATATTTACGGATACAGATTGATGCTTTTACTACTACTACAGTACTGAACCTTTTAATCAATAAACGTTTGAAAAAATTACCGAGCAGTACTGGATAAATAACACATAATTCTACCTGTAGGTAGCATGAACACAAACGTATGTTTCGATTGTTATGCCATTATCTAAGTAGATACTTTGTAAGCGCAATGCTGGACAACTTAAAAAATAACTCAATAATTTTAATAAAAAAAATCAACAATCCAGTAGTTTTATGTGAAATACTAGACGTTTGCTGGACATTACATGATGGAAGAAAATTGTAAAAATGCTGTATAATACAGCAAAATTCCGTACGTATGGCAATCC